ATATTTTGACCCAAATTTTTGTGAATATGTTCCCTATAGTTTTCTCCTGTTTTCTCCGAAATTTCTGCCAGTTTGGTTCATTCTCCGAATTTCTGCGGAATTTTTCTGCATATCGGTGAATAACCCCATTAATTAAATACAAAAAAACAATTGCAATTGGTGATCAAAGAAGAAAACATTGACAGCTGATAGCATACGAATTATGATCCCAAAAACAAAGAAAGGATGTATTTTTATTGAATGATCATTCATTAATGACATCAATTAAAAAAGATGTATAATAGAAAATCCTACATTATCAAGTAAATGTTTAATTATTCAACTAGTAAAGAAAATTATGATAATCGAGATAAGTGCATAAATAGAAACACGAACAAATATATATTTAAATTAGAAGTGGTCTTGACACTGAAAATCATAGTGAGCTTCAATCTAAAGTGATAACGTCGTTGCTTTCTGAAAAAAGAAATTTAGAAGAAATGGTCAAGTGATTTCCAGGAACTTCAAGAAAGTTTCTGAAAACTAGTACCAACGTTGAGCTTTAATGTCCTGGGATTGAGTTTGTGATCTGTTCCGAGGAGGGGATCTTCTGTATTTCGCGAATTCTTCAGCATATCTAAACTTCTGTCGTTTATTCTTTACAGAGTCATGAGAGTCTTCAGATGATGATTCGCAACTAGGAACCATGATGCTAGGATCGGTTGCTTCTGGTAAAGCTTCTTTCTCAGTATCCAACTCTCCAGATGATGACGAGAAAAGCGAAGAAATGCCCGAATCCAAAATAGACTCTTCTTGGGACTCCTCATAAATTGACAATTTTTCTGGTGTCGGCTCAACACACACAATTTCGAAAGCAATTATCTTCCCGTTAGCTTTCTTCGAGAACTCTGGTTTGAAATTTTGAAAAGCCTCGTATCTGCTACCTAACACTGCCATTCTGTGATGATTACGAGACCACGCTGACTTATTTTTCGGAGGACTGAGAGAAGATTCTGGAAACACTACATTGACGAGACTGTATTTCAAGCATTAATCACCTCTAGCCCTAGAAAACCGAAATCCGGACTCCACCGCTCTCCTGATAATCACGTCTTTTGTTGTGTTCCAAATTTCTTCTTGGGTTACATGAATGACGTCGTCATCCTCACCCTCACTGACATTCCCAACATTGTCCACGTCCAGCGCTTTTTTGGAATTAGTGATGATATGATTTTGTTCGGCTAAGAAGCTTCTTGGCTTGATAACTCTTCTAGGAGAAAGTGATTCTGGAACTGATTGCTTTGATTCAACTGAGAGTTTCTTTGTGACAGGAATTTCATATTCTCCTTCAACTCCTCTCGCACTTGCTTTTCTTTTGGTATTTCTCCTCTTCTTTACGTTTATTTCGACTCGCTTTGGAGCACTCTTTTCAATTTCATAGTCGACTTCTAGCTGATCATCATTATCATAAGTTGGCGAACTTCGTGCAAGATAGAGTTCTCGATCTATAATTCAAATCATTATTCAAAAATCGTTCAACTCTGCTCAACCATTAAAATAATTGAAGCTATCATCTATTTCTGGACAATCCAAGCTAAATTGTCGGACGCTTGAAGAACGTCCTTCGCCTACAACCAAAACAATATTATTTTTTTTACATAAAAATTTAGAGTTACCGCGTCTTATTGAGAAATTGGTACTGCTGAAGCTGCCCCATTCGTTGTCAAACGTTGTCTCCCGGGAAAATTTTGGTCGGGCCAGCTGGTACTCTAGTCTCCAGAAACTGTACTTGTGTTTTTCATTGTCATCGGTTCTCCAGTCGAAGCCAAGCTCCATCCTTTTACTTTCTTTTGGACTGCAAAGTCCTTGAGCGAGCATACTAATGCATTTGGATACAAGATTTCTGTTTTCCAGAGAGCTGAGAATAAATCCGAGACAATGATAGCAGTATTGAGAATAGATAACGCATTCCACGAAAACTTGAAAAAACGAGAATTTCATAGAACCTTTTAGAACTTCGGTCACTGCATGCTTTAAGCTGTCGTGATCCATTCTGAAGAAAACAACTATTCGACTTTTCTGCTCTGTTTCCGACTCACTCATGTCCGTCGATACTAAAGTCGATAAACTGTTTTACAGGACCGTAGTTGTTCAGAAATTCACCGCTTGTATGGCATACTTCAAATGGACGGAGTACATCGGAGTCATTCCTGAAAAATACTAAAAAAGTCCAACAAGAAAAAATTCACAACGTACAATTTTTTCAAGGCTTTTGATATGTTGATAGTCAAAACCTCTCCAAAAACGAGGCTGTTCCAGTACACGATTCTCTCTGATGGAACATCATCAGGAACGTTTTCAATATACTGCACAAGATTCAAACTTGGGTAGTTCTCGTGTTCGATAGGAGTCAAGTTTCGCACAGCATTCATTACTGCAATGAGATGATTACCGCATTGTTGTTCATTCTGAAAATAAGTCACATTCATTAAATTAGTCTTTCTCATTTTGAACAGACCTTTGCTTTAGATCGAGGGTGTAGCACAACAAAAATATCTCGATTACAACTGAATCTTCTTTCAATCTCTTCGGAGACATCACGACTGATTCGTTTGAGTTCGTTCATGTGCTCCGGATCTTCCTGAACTAAAAAAAATCGATCAACAAAAACTTTGAAAATTTTTTTGAGTGGCAAAAGGAAAATTATTCGGAGAATGAATACACACTTTTTTTTCAATTGCTCATTCGTTCTACCGTATACACTTTAAAGGCGCACACGGCTGGGCACCTTTAGACTATTTAGAAGAGTTATTTCGAATTGATTTGGTGGAGAATTGTATTTACTGCAGGGAACTCCTACCAGGGATTTATGGAAACTCCGAAAATTCCGATGTTTTTTTTTCGGAGTTTATTATTTTTTCCGAACTTTTTTTTTCAAATTCTTGGCTTACAGTATGTCAAAGGCGCACACAGAAAATTCCCCTGTGAGTCTTGAGCGGAATTACTTTAGAGGTGGTGTACGGTGAAACATTTTCTTCTTTTCTTCTTGTCGATGCCGTTTCTCTCAATGAAGGAATTTTTTTGAATTTTTTCTTTGTTTTTATGGGAATCTACATGGATTTCCGCACAAAACAAAGCAATAACATTTTTTTACCGCAGATCACCTTTAAAAAGGATCCCTCTCAACTACCTCAACACAAATCTTCATATTTATTTGGTACTTCAAACTGAAATAATTCGAAACAAGTTATATAGGCTGAACATTAATAGAAGATGCTGATTCCGGTATTGAAAGGTGTTCCAATTTTGGAAATCCTATTGCAGTTGCAGTTGTTTTTCTTCTCAAGTCGTTTTCTCCACTCGGGTGCTCTTTCTCTTCTCTGCTGAGGTCATCCACCTACCAAGAAGAAACATTTTATTGCTCTTTGTTTTTGACTCGCTTCATCTCATTCCATATTCTCGAGCACCCATTTAATTAAATTCCTTCGCCCGTTTTTTGGTTAACCACACACACACAACAACGTTCGATGCTCTTTTTTCTCCAATTTTCATCTCGGCAACGTCGTTGAGTCCCGCGCGCACGGACCCTTGTTCATCAAATGAAATTCGTTTTTTTTGTGACAGAAGATCTTCCGAAGATGGAAAATATTTCGGCGTTTGGACGCCTGACTCTCTCGTACAGCTAGAAAAAGAAAATGAAAGAGAAGAAAATGGATTGGAAGCGATGAATCAGAACGAATCACCGTGGCGCAGTAAATTATTCCGGACACCAATAGCAAATCGGACCAGCAGTCCCGCTGAGACAAAACAACGCGTTGCAAGTGCATAAACCACTTTTATCATCTTTCCGCTCCCATTCCACTCTATTTTTGGGGTGACAGCATTCAAGCCTATTTGGATGTGATCCTTCTGTCGCTGCTCGCTTCAACAAGTTGCTCTCGAAAAAAAAGCTTTTTCTCGCATTTTTATACATCTTCTTCTTCTTTTAAAAGCACTCTCAAGGATGTGTTGTTGATGATGATGCGCTCAGATTTAATGAGTTCTAAAAAGGATATGAAAGGAGACAGAAGAGGGACAAAATGGAAAGGGAAGAAAAAGAAAAGGAAGAGACGGACTAATAGAATTGAGAGCAGCATTTTCATAATTGCATTCCGATCATCAGATGTACTGCTCTAGTAAAAAACGAGTCGTCTATTTTTTTGCATTACACTGGATCCCTCATTTTCTTAATTACTAATTCAGCTCTCTTCCGATGAAGGATGTGGTCTCTGAGTTTTGTAACTTGGCAATTGGGAATTGTGAGAAAATAATGTATGAGAATAAACTGTTTGTTCTGGAAATTCGAATGGGATTCACATCATAGCTGCAAAGAGGAGTATATGATTATAATCCCAAAGGATTCCACATTAACGAATCAGAGAACTTTTAAGATTGGACGTTCCAGTCATTTATTTTGCAAGATTGATGTGGTTTACGTTGTTCCTGTATTTCCTCAAACACTCATATTAAGAAACCCACCCAGATATTTCACCTCATTTATCTCAGTTCCTGTGAAAGATATCAAAGTTTTGTCAACTGATAAATTATTCATCATAATATTACCAATATTTTATCAGTTGACAAAATTTTGATACCTTTCCCAGGAATTGAGATAATTGAGCGCGAAGAAGAACATTTTGGGTCGATGCACCATGTTTAGTTTTATCAATTTTTTAGGTTTTAGATTTTTCGAATTCTACATCAAATTTATGATTAATTTGTCCAAATTTTATAGCTTTTGGTCCACTAGGAACAAGTTAGGAGGTCTGGAACATTTTTCGGGGCAAGTACTCTAAATGCTCTAATTAAATCCAACATGATACGTGCTGTGAGCGCAGTTATCTCGATTCCTGTGAAAGATATCAACAAATTGTTAACTGATAAACTGTTTATCATAATAATACCGATATTTTACCAGTTGACAAAATTTTGGATTGCTTTCACAGTAATCAAGATAATTGAGCTCAACGGGAATACGGTAATTGGATTATCACTCTTCCAGATCTTAGAAATTTTTTGTGTTATCTTTGAACTTCAACCCTTTCTTTTTCCATGTCCTTTTTTGTTGCGTCACACGGGTCGCCTCCTCCTCAAAAAGAAATGAATTATAGATCTGTCATAATGGACTGAACACAAAAGAGCAGAGAAATTACTCTGTTCTTTCCTTCGCTAATGGTCTAGAATGCCCCATCGAAAAATTGTTTTTGTAACAATCTGCTAAGTGCATCGCTATTGATAATCGAATGTGTGTAAAAAATGCATTCAATCTTCCCGACGCCGCCTACTCAAAAATCTGAAACCCTCTCGCTCTTTGTCCTCCCACCGTTCGCCCGCCCATCTTTTTGGGGCGGCCATTTTCAAAGACTGCTATTCGCTCTTCTTCGTTTTTTTTCCAGTTTCCTCGGCCGAATTCATCGAACCATTGACAATTTTAGAAAGAAGGAGAAGGGTCCGCTCCGGAAAAGGAAATTCTGCTGTTTCCTCTCTAGTTGAAAGTCGTTTTTTTTAGTATGAATGTCTGTGTGTACGCGGATGATGATGATGATGTCGGATTCGAAGTAATAAAAAAAACGTTTGCGCTGCAATTGAATGTGGAGAAGTTGACTGACTCTCTCTTCCTCTTTCCTGTCTTTTTCATTTCTCTCATCGTTCATTTTTTCAAGTGCATCAACTGTTTATGTACTTGGTTTAGGTTTTACACTTTGAAATACGATGAGAATACGAGTACGTTTTTTTCAAAAAAGGGAAAGGGAAAATTTTGAAACGAAGGATCAAAAGGCAAAACGAATCCTTCAGTATCACAACCGTACCATTCGTTCAAAAATTGATATCTCACAATTGGAACAAAAAAAACAAGCAATAAAAACAATTCAATTTTTAAAGATTTTGCGATTACGGTATTTCCTCTAATAGACGCCCACCCAACCGTCAACTTCAAGCTCAATTATCTCAATTCCTGTGAAAGATATCAAAACTTGGTCAACTGATAAAATATTGGTAATACTATGGTGAATATTTTATTAGTTGACCACATTTTTATATTTTTCACAGGAATTGAGATAATTGATCCCGAAGTTGAAAGTCATGTGCGCTTCTATGACAGGCTTGACGGTGTTTCAAAATCTAACTGTAACTTGCCCACCCAAACTGTTAACGTTGAGCTCAATTATTTCGATTCCTGTGAACGACATCAAAAAATTGTTAGCTGATAAAATATTGGTGATATTATGATAAGCTATTTCTCAGTTGACACATTTTTTATTATCTTTTACAGGAATTGAGATAATTGAGCTCAAAGTTAACGGTTTGGTAGAGCTTCAGAGGAAATGCGGTATGTGGATTACCATTCTTCTAGATACTAAAAATTATTTGTGTTTGCCCAGTTTGGATTATTGAAGATTTATGTAACTTTCTCTTCATATTTCAAAATTTCTTTTCCGAATTCTAGGGCATCTCAACCAAAAAAAAAACCAGACATCTAATTACAGGGTTTCTCCGACCTTTTTCCTCTTTTTTAGATCACAATTTGTTTATATTCTCCTTTTTCGTTTCCCTATAAATCCCCTAAATAGCCAGACTCAAATCTCCCTAAAAATCAAAAATATTTTTAAAAGAAAACCCAATTTAGAGATCAAGAGAAATGTTTCTTAATGTCAAAACATCACAGCTGGTCTCTCTGTCCCCAATACATTTTTGATTAAATACAACCTTGTTGCAAAATCAATACAGAAAAATATATTTCACAACAAGCAATTATTACTTTTGAAGATTGCAAACCACTCAGTTTGAAATTTCAGACGACCAGGCGTCATATCGATAACCACTCTCTAATAAGGAAACTGTTTTTAGAATTTCTAGTTATTCATTTATGATGAAATAATAAAAAAGGAATTGAAACTCATAATAATAAATCGGGAGTACACCTGAATAAGACAGCAAACAATCCAATGAATCAGCTTCGTTTTTGAACGTACCGCCCGTCTTCTTAAGAAAGATGACTGCTTCTTCTTTTTTATTCTGTTTTCATTCATTCTTCAGGCATTAGTATTCAGAAGCAGTACTTCCGTTTTGTGCTCTTTTCATTCTAATTCATCCCAATCGGGAACACCCCGAGGTGACCAAGATTAGTTCTTAAAGGGGGACTCCGACCAAAAATTTTTATTGCCTTAAAATGTTTCAAAAAATATGTATTTTCCAAATATTATTGCGAAAAAATTCAAAAAAAAATCCTAAATCCCCGAAAAACGGCGTTGAAAAAAAATAGGATTTGAATTCCCGCGCAGTGAGAAACCTAGGCCACGGCATCATCACGCCTTTCTTACATGGAAATTTTTCCGGATTTTTTCGGTGTTCATGT